GGGGGGGGGGGGGGGGGGGAGGGATTCGCAAGAATTCTCAAGTTTAGACGCATGTGGGTGGTGTTAGAAATCGAAGGAAACTCCAGCAAATGAGCGTCACGTGATTATAGGGCTCACTTGTACACGAAACTAAAACAGCAGACTCGGTGATCGGTGAAAAATTCCAGGACAATCGAGGTCTCGGTGAAACGAAACTTCCCAGCCACGACTGGTGAGACAGGCACTCACTGGCCAAGCTTGACGATTAACGTCGTCGCCATCGGTTGAGCCTCGCAAGCTGACTCACCGGCGTGTCTGGTGGGTCGCGGCAGCTGCATCTGCTCCGGGAAATGATGATGCGCCGACGTGGTCGACCAGTGCTCGTGATGCGGCTCCGGGGTCTGCTCCTGGGGGCAGTGGGGCCTCAGGTCGAGCGGCTCCTGCCTCAACGACTGCGTCAGCCAGCCCATGCCGCCCGCGCTGACCTGTATCTCCTCCTGCACCAGAGCCCCGGGCTGTTGCAGCTGCAGCAGTACGCCGCCGCGGTCGCGGGCATCGCGCGGCTCCCGGTCGCCGCGGTGGAGCTGCAACGGCGGCGGCGAGGCCGAGACCGGCGGCGTGTCCGGCGGCGTGCCCGGATGCGACAACGTGGTGAGATGCGCCGCACTGCCAGGCGGCGCCTTCACCAGGACGCCGTGTTGCACCTGAATGTGCGGCTGGCCGTACAAGGGATGCGGCTGCTCCAGCTCGTGCGCAGGCGGCGTCAGCGGCGCCAAGGTCAACCCCTGCGGCTGCACCGGCCCCGAAAGCTGCACCACGCTGCCGTTCACCATCACGGTCGGCGATCCCATTCGTACCTGCAACGCGCATTTCATTCACGTCGACGACCACTCGTGCCTGTTGACGCGGCGATTCCCCGGGGTTGAAGGTCGGCCGCCTCCGAGGAAAGCTCAGCTTCTCGGAGGCGCTCTAGCGCGGAGCATTAGCGACACTCGCGTCGTCCGGGAAATACACGGGAAAAGTGACTTCCTTGGCGTAAGTGAATTTTCCCCCTCGCCCGGGAAGAGACCGCACGAAAGGAAGGGAACTGAGAGATTTCCCCGTTCAGTTGAGAGAACTGACATTTTTTTCCACGCCTCGACGAATTTTTTATATATTGTGTATACAATATGTCTGCATTTAAGCACGACGCCCAGCGGGTAGTGCGCGGCAGAATAAACAGGAAAGCCCTATACTATTTTTCATATGACCCTTTTGCTATCGAGATATTAATTCAAGTTGGCGAATGAGTACTGTTAAAGCCAAATTTCACATCTCAATTATTCCTTTTGTGTTATAATGAGTTCCCGTCAATTTCGTATAACTACGTATCGAGACCTTTATGTTACGCATACGTATTATGTGATTGGTCAAAACGAGAAATAACAATCCTAATGTGGACCTTCCTATAAATGTGGTTGTGTCAAATTGCTCCAATTGGCACGAGGCCAACCTGAGAATCTTGGATTTAAAAATACGTACTTCGTAATAATGTCGGATGAGAAATTCGGATATCCAAAAATACGGACTAGAGTGTGAAATATTTTTTATAAATATATTAGTTATGATTATATGCAGCAGAAGATAAATAATCACCATAATATAATAAAATAGATAGAAGCCGAGAGGTTACACGTTACGTGAATCGTTATATTCCGACTGAATATATGTCTACCATAAATGCAACCCTATATCGAATAGCGCTTATCTCGTGTTTTCCGAAAAACTAAAAGAGCCGTCACCTGTTAGCAACACTCGCAAAATTGCGATTTTCCAGCTGGTTTATGTACGACAGATAACGAAGCACGTTTCACTCAAGCACGCAGCACGTACAGTGCGCACCGCGCACTGTGAATGATAACATAGTACACAGCCGTACGTATCAAATATTTTACATATTTTTTCAACCCTTTTCAGGACAGCTTTATTCAGAAACGAGGGAACTGGCAATATATTTCCAACGTAGCTAACGAATGCCTCTGAATGGCTGCTCTTTACATTCTCTGCGTGTCGGAAATATTTTCAGCAAAGCATTCGCAAAAGCATCACTGTATATCTTTCCATATATACGACAACAATAATTCGGCAAGTTTCCGAAATAATCGCATCGGCGGGACTGAATATTTTCACCACAGCGGGTAATCTTAACGCAAGGATTGAAAGCAACATAATGTTGGTGAGTTCAATTTCCCATATTCCCAATATGTCTTCAATATTGTATTTTACGCATCCCCCGTATCTTCAAGGAAATGTCTTTCTTCTGGACAATCACTCCGATAACTTAGAAACACACTTTGTGTTTTAGATACATTGTAGTGTAAAATCCGTCCAATTTAATACAGAAATATTTTTGCCCAGGACAAAATTACAAAAATATTAGGACAGATCCTATCTGGCTATGTAGCTATATGCGCGATGCTTCTTGAATTTCACGTTATTTGCTGTGAGATTTAAACCTGTTGAACTGACCACAACATCTGTTTTATCTAATCTATGTAACACACGCTTTATGTTTGCGGAACATAAAAAATAAAGTTTGTTCGATAGCAGTTGACGTGAAAGAAGAATATATTTGACTTGAATCCGTCCTGTTAAAACAGCATAATCTTTTCCAAAACATCGTTTCATTCGTTGGATGAACCACGTCATTTGATTAAAAAAAAAATACTATTGTTTTATACTCGTTTTATTTCTCAAACTAATTTATTATTTATTTTAAATATTACGATGTTTAGTTAAAATTTTGAAAACAATCATAGCGTCATTGAATCACTGATATACATTCTGTAAAAATATTGACTGTTGTTACGTTGCTTCCAACGTTTGCCAGCAAGTATGGCATTACAATGTTATTTAAATACTTTAAGGACACACTACAAACACGAACACAAAGATATCGGAGTTCGTTAACATCACCAGTTCCTGTTCAACCATTGAAGTTAAGCAACGCGCTGTGGTTACTAATTTGGTTTCTAAATTTATATATTTTCCGACTTGTTTAATGTTTCGAGAAAACGTGATTTTAATTATCTCCATGCCTGATATTTTTGCATTCGTAAAAACAAAAACCAAATATGCTAAGCAAATACGAATGGAGTTTACAACTCGAATTCCCCGACTTATTCCATCTCTCCCTATCTGAATTTTTACGAGGATCTAACGAAAGTTATAACACTCGTATATATACTGTTCGAAACTCTCACACTTTTATCAAGTTTCTGCACTTCCGATATTAGATCTTAACCAAAAAAAACCCCACTCCGAATTTACCGTAAGAAGCGGCCGGATCTCGTGTATTTACGCGAAACTTTGGCGAGACGCCGTCCCCGGCGCAGGCTCTCACCTCTCGCTTGACGTCGGCGGGATCCAGATGATCGAGGACAAATTCCTGCACATACTCCCTCGCCAAATGGTCCTCCGCTTCCATCTTAACCTCGTCGACCTCTACCTCCACCTCCTCTACCGTGTCCGTCGTGCCTGCATACGGAAGCGTCTCCTGATCGCCACCGCCGTCACCACCACCACCACCACCACTACTTCCACCGCCACCGCCTCCACCACCACCGTCGCCGCCACCGCCGTCGTCGTCGTCGCCGCCGCCGCCACCCGGACAACTCGTCACCGTCGTCGTTTGTTGCGTCGTGACCACCTCCCCGGCGACGAGTATCTCGTCGAGGGGAGAACTAGACGGACGATGTGGTGTCCGGGTAAAAATTCGCTTCGCCACGTGAGCGACGAGCTCGTGACTCCGCGTTCCTTGATCGGGTCCTCCGCGATCCTACGACTGATCGGGGCGGACGGGGGGAGGTCGGTCGACCGCTCGGGGAAAATCTAAAGGGTTGCGAGACGAAGTCACCGGGGAGGCAACGTGTCTCGTCAGTACACGCTCTGATCCCGCCGGCTCTGCGCTAGAACATAATTTATGCTCTCCTCTCTCTCGGCTTTACTCCCGATCTGTCTCCTCCTCACGAGGAGAATCGCGCGGACTTTGGCGGAGATGAGAGCGAGAACCACCTCCTCGGAGAGCAGCCCTCCTCGGGGACGATGAGCCGCCGGAACTCGCGGCCTTCAGCGCGAGTGAGAGGGAATATACGTGGGGGCAGCCCTCGTTCGTTCTTAAAACGAAATAGAGAGACAGGCGAAAAGCGAGAGAGCGTATCTATGCCTTCGGCGTGCATCCGTCAGTCGAAACGACACTTTCCCCGTGCGAGGGGGAGAAGAGCAGGAGCGCTTGGGGTGGCTCGTGAATGCATCTGCTTCACGATCACCATCGGACACCGGCACGTCGACCTCTCCTCCCGCGGCGATCCCGCGCACTGTCGCGATGTGCACTCACGATCACTGACACATCATCACTCTTCCCACCACCGAAGATAAGTAGTCCTCCCTTCGCGGCCGTCCGCTTCCCTCGCGATCGCAACCGAAAGAAAATGAACTCGATCGGGAAGCAACGGTGGTCCCGGCGATTAATGAGCCGCGTCACATCGTGGATCGTAAAAACGTCACTGAGACCCCTTCCGTCCCCCTCGAGTTAATCCGCGGATCGAGCGCGGTCCCGTCGATCGCAGGCAACACAATGTTTTCTTTCTCCCGAATGTCCTCGCGTCCGAGGCCGAGAGACCGACGGAGGCGCGCTATCGGGCGGACGAACAGGACGAAAAAGAAGGAAAGTGTGAAACAGGGAGAAAGGACGAGACGGAGAAGAGAGAAGGGGGGAGAGAGAGAAAGGAGGGAAAAGAGAAAACGAGCGCGCTTAAGAGAAGGAGAAAAAGAGATCGCGTGTCGGACAGCAGTGGATACGCCGCCTGAGTGGTGACTGGTCGGCCGTGTGCCGAGAGTGAGCTTTCGTGCTTTCGCGCGCAGGACAGTTACATGACGTCACACGTGGGAGGCGTGGTTGTCGGCTATTTGATCTCCCCGGCTCGCCCGGCAATTGGCGCATCCCGTGCCGCGCCGCCATTTGCACACTCCTCCCATTTGCACCCCCTCTCTCCCCTCCTCCTCACCCTCCTCCCCCCCTCGCAAAACGGCGTAATATTCCCTCCTCCTCGCGGCATCGCGTCGGATCCGGTCACTCGAGGTACCACACACATTAATTTCTAAAGTGATTATTATAATTTTTCAACGGGGCGCGATTGCGCGAATTCTAGCCTCCCTCACCTCCCTGCTCCCCTTTGCCCTCTTCCCTCCCGTCCTCTCCGCCGCTTATACGTGTTACCGTTCAGCCGGAGCTTTCCCTCCTTCGCCTCCTACGGGATCCCGTATCGCGGTTTTTCTCCTCCTCTTCCCTTGTAGATTTCAATTTACCGGCGGTCGGTTACCGGTGACCTTTTATCTGGGAACCGCGATCTCGATTTGGACAGGGCACGATTTTCCGCGCAGGCCTGGGGCCGAAGGGAGGGCGGAGGCGGTTCACAGAATGTCACGTCTATGATGCGACATCCGTGCCAGGGTGGAGGAGGAGGTAGAGCAGGAGGAGGAGGACGAAGAGGGTGAGCAAAGCGCGAGGGAGATAAATGGGGACCGGAACGGGTGTCAGATTACTGTCGCGCCCAGTTAACGAGATATCGCTTTGCGTGTCTGAGATTCTATACGCTTGGAAGAAAGCATCTTTGATATACCGTAGATTCAGAGTACAAGCCAGACACAAATTCCAACGGATTACGTAATCGGGGATTGTACGGACGATCCGGATTAGAAACGTTCGAGTTCCGACAATTAGTACATCCACGGATGAAACAGTCGGGGCTCTTCTTTTGCGGTGAATTTTATAAATAGGCAATCGTCGTGATCAATTAAATGTTACAATTTCTCTATGGTACACTGAGGAACCCCATTTAACTGGGTTCATGCAAAATTCTTCCTCGGATATGGGCGAAACGAAAATAAAAAAAGTTTGGTTCAGAGAGCCGAGTTTTCGTAAACCAATACTCACAATCAATCTTATCTTCAATGATTTCCTTTGCGTTGTGTGACGTTGAAAACTGTTCCTCCTTCAAACTCGAATAAAGTGTTCGTTCAAAACACTTTCTTACGTCGAAGAAATTCGTCCGGGCTTTATTATGTCTTACCACATCGATACAGTAAATATTCATGTCTAATTAAAATCTAGCAAACACCAACTGACAATAACATTACATCATAATTATAGTTACAAGTGCTATATAACATATGTTGTATATAATAGTTACATTGTTAAGTAAAATTATAAATTTCTCAATCTTACTCGGACCCCCAAAATGGATTATTACGAAGAATTATTTAAGACTTCCCACATAAGACCAAGAAGAATATATATAAGATATATTCCGCCAGCTTCCCTTCGAATGACGCGACTCTCTAATTTGGATTGGCTGCGATATGGTATTACTCTTCGATCGGCGAAGAAGCTCAAGCTCCGTGAGAGTTTATGCGATACGGCGGCGAATCGCGAACTCGTATCTAAATAGGTTCCCGCACACGTCTACCAATCTACCCTTCTATTTAGCAACTCATAATACACTCCGTATTTACTTTCGAAAAGCCACAACTTTAAAATGTTACACGAATGTCAAATTTTCCTCCTTCTCCTCGCGAGAAATTCACCGAGAAATGAGTTCGGTTTCCGTCCGCTTCCATCTGATAAAAATGGACAGGCAAAGCGCGTTTTGGTATATTTGAAATTACAAAGTTACCTTCCTCCCCGTTTTCAAGTTATCACTCTTCAGGACGATCGGTTTTGAGACGTAAGGACCTATAAAATTTGAGGTCAAAACGATTCGACGATTGGTCGCGTGGTTCTCCAGATATTCGACTACTCAGTAATAAAAAGCATATGACGTTTCGAACTTTAAAATGTATCCATCATTAACGTCGTTCTACACAAAATAGTAAAACTTCGACAAAACAAGACATTGTCAGTTTAAACGGCGAAAGCCGTCGATCGTCGCCGAGCGCGTACTCGTTGAGCGAAAACTCGAAATAGTGACGAACGAGTAACGATAGGTTTGGCCATTTTGTTGAGCCCGAGGAATTTGTCGACGCTGCAGCTCGACATTCTTCGTCCATCGCTTCCTTTCGGTTCTGCCCGCGCCATTCGTTCGCGCGCTCGATATACGCGCGCGCTACTGAAATTCCCTCGGGTAACGAGAGTCGAAAATTTTCCACTCACCAAGAGGACACCGCGACAAGAGGACGCTAAGTTGCGTAAAGCAGGACACTCACGAACGCTTAACATTGACGATATTATCGGTTTGCGATGCGGGAGTATGGTTGCAAACGAAATCGAGGAAATGATTATAAATCGATCAAGATCGTCCGCCGTTATTCTTCCAATGTCGGGAGTTCAGAAGACTCTGAATTCCAGCTCGGCATTGTTTGGCGTTGCGCGCAACAAACTTTACCGCAAGATTTACGACGGCAATTGAATCCGAAAGCCAAACAGGAAAAAGTTCCAACTTTCCTCTGGCCGACTGTGTCCGACCTGGTCTGTTGATTTTAACTCCTACGCCGCCGGTCTCTCGACCATTTGTCCGTCTTTCGATGCGCGGACGGCTCGGTGCGACTCAAGCTTCTTCAAACTTTTATCGCTATTTATCTGAAAATAATCCCGCAGAAACATTAGATATGTTATTTAGGAAGAGATTTTAAGAACAGAGTAGATCAGAAGTAAGGATTACTTAGGAGAAGATCGAAGCTAAGATGCATTGACGTACGTAAAGATTGACATTATCAATCGAATAATCAACACCGAACGTATAAGAACATTAATATAAGAACATTGAGACATTATCATCGCAAAGTAAATATTTTACGAGTTGTATTTCAAAGGCCAAAGAATACCATGATGAAATATCTCTTTAAATATTGACTTTTTGATGATTTCAGATTTTTACATGCAGAATGACGTCAAATGTAGAGTGAAATCGATTTACGTAAAATAAAGAAAAAAGAAAGAGAAACATAATTCTAATTAAGAAACTGAAATCATCTTGGAAGAAACATTTTAAAGATCATAACTGTACCTTCGTACGGCTCCCTCGAAAACGAACAATTTTAATTTGGAACATTTTTCGATATTCCCAGTACTCTCTCTCTCTCTCTCTCTCTCTTTCTCTCTCTCTCAGCATTAAGCTATATCAATTTGAATGAGACAATTTGCCTCTATGTATATGTGTATATACGCATGCGCGTGCGGTGCTTACGTGCGTAAAATGAATATAATTATACAACGAAATTGATATATGTGACAATACATATAATTCTCTTCTTCCGTTCTCTGGGAAAATTTTGTAAATCGTTGTTAAGGTAAAAAGTAAAGTAACTAAGAATTATAATGTTTTAAAATGTTTTCATTAAGACAACTTTAAGAAGTACAAAATAATATACGGATAAAGAATTATTTACGGTTCGTAGTTCAAAAATGAATCTATAATCAAGGAACAGAAATACTACGTGAGTAATTAAAACAACACCACGTTCATACGAATTAATAGACATTGCAATCAGCATAATGATGCGACGCGAAACGAAGCAGCCTCGCCTCAGTACAATCAGTATACCGCTGCTCTCTCAC